CTTTAGCAACATCCTCTTCTTAGTGCGTACTTCCAACACTTATTACATGAAACCTTCTCGAATTTGCTATGCACCCACTACGTGGCCTTAAGGGAATAGGCACAGTAGCGTGTGTGCCTTTTGTAGTGGGGTATTGGCTTTCAACTACGGAGCCATTATGATAATCACATATTCTGACACCCAGCTCTTTAAAGGGCCACTCACCAGGTTTGATAATTTTGAGCTGACAAGCGCAATGCGTAGACGAGGCGTTCATGATCATGTCTGCCAAAATTTGCAACGCTATGCGCCGCGGAAATCGGTCAAATTTTCAAGATGAAAGCTGCTTGCCCTCCTCTCTACCTGCACACGCGTAGCGAATGAGGGCATGACGTGGGTGTAGGAATGGGCCTACGTACACAGCACTGCGGTCACGTTGGTCCTCTACGTAGACGACTCTGCTCTGACGTTGTCAACAGTATACCACGTGACATGGCAAAAATTATTTTACACAACATGCGTAGTTTATGTATTTGTTGCTTTAAGAGATGAGTAAAACTTGAAATAAATAATGAGACGCAATGAAAATTGTGCACGTTTTTCTTAAATTTTTTTTCCCCGTGATATGATACGAGATGCGGGGCTAATGTGCCAGCGTTTCTCATGCGTTCGGGTTCCCACGGTCAATTGAGCAGACGACCGCTGTGGAACGCTCCTACGCGTTTGCGCAGTCATTGTGCTCATCTACTCCAGCGCGTCTAAGCCAGCGTTTTTAAACAATCCCGCAGAAACAGGCAGAAGGCCACAAAATAAAGCTGGTCAACAAAGCAACACCGCTCGCGTGCACGGGGGCTGGGCTTGTTCGGGCACGTCATGCGAACGTCACCTCTTGGTCGGTTGCCAAAGAGGGTGGTGAAGAGGTTTGGCTTGCGAAGGTTACGCGGAGGAGCGGAGAGGGTTTTGAACTCGTCTCCTCTCACCCTCGTTTCGTGCCACTTCAAAAATTCTGTTTTCTCCGCTCGTAATGAGCCGATTCGAGAAATTTTTGTGGCAAAACGTTCCTCATCGAACACCCAACAACTTTCACTGTGTAACTAAAATTTGGTATGAGGCCTGGTGAGTGGCCCTTTAAGGCTATTACATTCGTATTAGTTGCAGAGTGCCCATAGTTACTTCTAGCAGTTTTATGAAAGTGCCTAATTAGCTGAAGCTGTTTTCGTCTAAATGAGAGAGTCACAAGTGGGCACATACATTTTGAAAAGCAAGTGGACTTACTAAAGATCCCAACTAAGTCCCTTTTCGCAGACCGAGACGGTGTCGAGTTCTATGGCACATAGTGCAATCTGTTTTTTTTTTTACCTCGCCTGTCATAGGTACATGACTCCCATAAGATTTTCATGACAGACTTTCTCGATTTGCTGCCTTGAGAAGCTTAGTAGCTATGGTGCTCAGCTGCTGGCACAAAAAATATGAGTTCGATCCCTTCAGCGGCAGTCAGATTTTAAAATGCTTGGAGCCAGTATATGGTGCGATGTGAGGGCACGTTAAAGATCCCCGGATCGTTGAAATTTGGTGCAGTTCTCCACTATGGCGTCTCTCTTTTCCCAAACCCTAGCAATGTTACCTGAACTGTTTTTACTACCTGGTTTCATTAACAGGAGCATTCAAATTGTATAGGAGTGTCTCGGAAATAGGCTGCATACTACACTTGAATAAAAAGCTTCCTATTACCTGAACCCTTCACATTGTGTAAAAAAGAGCAACATTGTGTAGCTGCAGTGAGGATGCCATTTTGTTCTCGGAACACCTCGGGTTTGAGTTCTCAAAAGCAGCACATTCGTCATCAGCCTCTTGTACGCCCTCTGCAGGTCTTTCTCCAATTTACCGTATCTGTGGTTTCCATTTTATGCCTGAGAGCCTAATTTTTGGCTACATTTCCCATCTCTGGTATCTATTCCGTTGCCACAGCTGATCCGCCATGGTGGTCTAGCGGTTATGGTGCTCAACTGCTGACCCCGTTGGTCATGAAATCAAATTCTGCCCACAATGGTATCATTTTCTATGGAAGCCAAAATATGTGAGGCCCGTGTAACTAGATTTAGGTGCATGTGAGAAAACTCCAGCTGGTCAGAATTTCTGGAGCCCTCCACTATGGCGTCTCTCATGTGGTTTTGGGACGTCAAACCCCGTCAGTTATTATTGCTACCATCAGTTATCTATCCTTCATGTTATGTAACCTGCCCAGATCTGCTCTTAATGCTGGAATTTTGGCGACGGCATTTATTCCCTGCCTTCCAATTTCTTCATTTTACTCCTGCCATTTTTGTTTCATTGCGCACTGTGTGGTTCTTCTCGAGGTTCTTTGCCACGTTTTTGCTTGATATGTTAATACTTGCAGTGTATTGTGGTTGTGCACTTTTGCTTTAGGGACAGTGGTGAATAGCGCATCATGATTTGGGAATGTCTGCCATAACCACTCCAGGCCAGTTTTATACTTGGATTAGTTTCCATTTCGTAAGTGAGCCTTAATAAATGAGCCCGTAAAGTTCCCTTCATTTATTCGTAGCGAGGGTCACATTCTGGTAGGCGTGAGGCCTTCAGGTAGTATGCAAGCGATTATTGGTGAGCTGCAGGGGTGGAACAGCCGCGCCATTTGTACCACTGTGCGCCAAATTTGTTTACCAGTGCCATCCTACGCCAAACTACCACTGCCACGTCAAACTCACCTATCAGTGCCGTACTGCGCCGTAGCACCAGAATTTAGCCACGAAGTGCGAAAGCCATCAAGCGTCGTGCCCGGAAATGTGGCTGAAACATTGTCTTCTTGGTTTCATAGAAACAGTTATAGTTTTCGTTTTATAAAGGCTATGATCGCTCCAGGAGCAGCCTTGCACTTTGATTCTAAGGTGTGGTCGTGATCTCTATGCGTGCGCGATCATGGCAGGCATCAACGTGAATATCTCAGAAACTCTTCTACAGTGCTGCGCTCTCAATGCGAAGAGACTGGGAGAAGACCATTTCTTCTCTCAGGTAAGGCTCTATTATCTTACACCAGCGTTGTGTAGTGTAACACGATATCAGATCTGAGAGAGTTACAATTTGTTGCTACTTATCATTTGAGCCTTACAATTTGTTGCTATCATACTCATTGCTTAGCCATTATGGTGTTTTTTTTTATAACATGATGGCAGCGTCCGCAAAAGATATCAAGGAGCTGAGTGTCTTTCAGGACCCCGTTTTGGGTAATAAAGTTTCATCATCACCATCATGGCAGCAACAGTGCTCAAACAAAGGGGGGTGGTGTCCGGTTCCTGGAAAAGCCTAGCAAAAACAGGTGCACATGACTGCTTATTGAGCGTATGTATGTACGCTCGTTGATTTGGCTGCTGTGATTCACGCTTATTGACTAGATGGTTCACTCTCGCGCGTTAAGGTAAAAAAAAAGGAAAAAAAAAACGTTGGTGGCTGCACATAACCAAACATGTCACAATCGCACAATAAAGGGTGAAACAATGAATGCGATAGCATAAATTGTAATGGTATAAAAAGGTGAGGCTGGCAGCTAACTCTTTTGATTCGATCTGATGTAACTGTATGAAACTCTGGGGTACGAGAATACGGCTGCTTCGAGGAGAGCAACACTTTTTGTGTAGTTTCTTTGTGATCATTGTGCAGCACGTGGAAGTGTATACAATACGAGTCGCCGTTGATGGCTGCCGATTTAGCGTGCGCGCTAGTGATCTCGACCATGCCCTTAGAAACAAATTCGTAGTTTTTGCTCAAACGACACCTGTCCCCCTCCCTCGTTTTTTTTTTAATTCTCTTTCCAAGACGGGTGGAGTTCTTCCTTTCTGCTTAAACTACAGGCCTCTTGGTCGGGCTCATTGGATGTTATTGCACACACCCTCCGAGCGGCGGAGATGGGCCCCACTGTTTCATCTCTGCTTCAACTGCATTCGTCACCCCCGCTCGCGTGCTTTTATTCGTGGATAGAAGATGCGATGCGTTGGGGTATGTTATCAATTTGAAGTATTTATACGGGACATGATGGCAATGGCGAAAATTTGGCTGATCCCACGTATGGTATGAATCGATATGCGAAGCACGAATGAGGACGGTTGATATGTCACTCCGAAATCAGCACAATGTTATAAGGCAGACGTAAATTATACCGGACATGATTTCCATGTCATGATTATCATCTTTGGACGTGTCGTTTACCTTCGTTGTCTATTCACGTGACGTGATACCATATTTGGTAAATGTGAAGATAGCGAAGCGGCCGCGAGCACGCTATGAGCCTGGAATGTAGTCATGTTTTACATGACATGCTTGTTATGATTATCTTCTTTGGATGCGCCATTTAGCTTTGCCATTCATTCACCTCGCGTAATACCAAATTTGGTATATGTGGAACTAGCGAAATGGCCGCGAGTGCATCATGAGCGTGGCATGTAGTCATGTTCTTGCATGACATGCATCTCATGATTGAGCGTGGCATGTAGTCATGGCTTACATGTCATGCATGTCATAATTCCATGTTTGGGTCTGTCAATTATGTTTGCCATGCAGTCGTGTCATACCATACCAGTTTTGCGACATGTCACGTTAATGAAACCAATGCAAGAGCAGCAAGACCATGAAATGTAAATCATGACATTCATGTCATGATTTACATGATTTCCTCTCTTCCTCTCTCCATCTTTCAAACTCCCTAATCCCTGTCTCCAGTGTTGGGTAGCATACCAGTCTCTCTAGAGAGAGAGAGAGAAAGAAAGAGAATACCAGAAAGGTAGGGAGTTTAGCAGTCCCTTAGACTGGTTAATATCCCTGCCTTTCTTTCCCCTCTTGTTCCTGTTGGAATTACATGCGGTGACATGGCAAGGGTGTGATCCCCCTCTGTTAACGTGGATCCTCCTCGCTGAACCATTTAATGTGACACAATGGAGTTTTGCCAAGATTAAACAGCTCTGCTGGTTAAAAGTGTTGTAGGGGTTAAGCAATCTGTCTTGCCATTACAGCTTTGGTCCTCGGGGCCCACCACCACGATTTCGGGGTCCACCTCCGCCAGGCATGATGGGGCGTCGGGGTCCACCCCCAATGATGCGGCCTATGATGGGGAGGCCTCCTCCACCTGGTTACCGGCCCCCTTTTGACCCGAGCTTCCCACCGCCACCCAACATGGGTCCACCTCCACCAATGAGCATGGGACCACCACCAGGCATGGTGAGTGTGTGTGTCCTGATCAGGGCATTACAACTTAAGTACCTTTAGTGCAGGACTGGCTATAGCGCGTTGTCTTGTGACTCCTATTGATCTTTCCATTTAGTTCTTTGTACAATAAAGTCTCATTCGAGGACTGAAGGATTCTAAAGGCAAAAAGTGGGGCACTGCGAAACGGGGACCAGACAAGAGAATGATGACACTGGCACACATTCTCTTTTCTAGACCGTGTATTGTACTGCACCCCACCTTTTGCATTTAAAATTAATCATTACCATCTAGCCTAAATAGTTTTGCTACAATACTCTGAAGTAGTTTGTAATAGAGCTGTGCGAATAGCAACATTTTGGTTGCGGAGCGAATTCGTATAGGAAAGTTTGCAAGTTTTTTCAGCGCGCGAACATAGAAAGAAAGGACAGGGTAGACAAAAAAAGCGCTGACTTCCAAATAACTTTATTTCACAGACTAGCAAGAATATGTATGCCTAAAAAAGGATAATTACAGAACACAAAGATAAAATACAAGCTTAATTAATGCGCCAGTATCAAAGCACGTGTGACGAGTCCTCTATTGCCTCAGAGCCCAGCCGGGTACAGTGAAAGCTCGTTAATTCACACCTCATTAATTCGAAATTTTGGATAATTCGAAATGGTCGTCGCAGTCCGGTCCGCAGTGCATAGGAGACCATGTGTAAAACGATTCGTTAATTCGAACAGAAATTGCTGCCTCTACGGATAATTCGAAGCGCGCGCCGCCGAGCGTCATCATCGTCAAACACTAGTGGAAGCTTTTACGGTCGAACGATAGGTGGCACGACCAGTTTTTTCGAGCTTCAAGTGGCCTCCAAGCAAAGTGTGGCCCCCCAAATCCAGGGAGCAATTTTTTTTTTTTTTTTCCCGTAGCCCTCTCGCTATCTTAGCGCCTGGCGCCCACGGGACGCTGGGGACCCACGGGACGCTGAGGAGTCGGCGGAGCAGTCCTAGCAGTCCTAGGCCGCTCCTTGCAGCGTCACTTTGTTCCTCAAGCACGTTCGTTCACGCCGTCAAGCCGTCTTATTCCGCAACGAAGTTGCAAGATGCCGCGGGGAAACTACTGCGCGAAGACTGTCAAGGAGAAGGTGGAGATTTTGCGAAAGGTTGACCGAGGGAACTCGAGCAAATAGGAAATTGCGAGGAAGCACGGCATACCTCCGAGCACGTTGTCAACCTACATTTGCAACAGGACGGCCATTGAAAACGCCTATGAAGCTGAGGACTTTGGCGCCAGTCGAAAAAGGCTAACGACAGCGAAGTTCCCGGAACTGGAGTCAGCTTTGATTATCTGGGTTAAAGAAATGAGAGCCCAGAGTATCGCATTGCGCGGCCCTATCATCGTGGCCAAGGCAGCCGATTTCGCCCTGTGCTTGAACATTGAAGACTTTGTCGCCTCCGAGGGATGGTTTCATCGTTTCAGGGAGCGGCACAATCCCGTATTCCGCACGTTATCCGGCGAGTCAAAGGAAGTGGACGGCGAAACATGCGCTACTTGGAGAAGCGACAACCTGCAGCAGTACTTGGAGAGCTACTCACCACAGGATGTGTTTAACGCTGGCGAGACAGCGTTCTTTTTCAAGTTGCAGCCAGACAAGACGATCACCTACAAGGGAGACAGCTGTGCCGGCGGCAAGCGCAGCAAAGAGGGTGTCACTGTTGTGGTCGCCGCAAATATGACCGGTACGGAAAAGGTCCCCCTTTTTGTGATTGGCAAAGCACTCAAGCCACGGTGCTTCAAAAACATTCGCTCACTGCCGACGGAGTACGTCGCAAACAAGAAAGCCTGGATGACAGGTGACCTATTCAGGACGTGGCTACTGAAATTCGACAGGCAAATGGAACTGGGCGGCAGACGCGTTCTTCTTGTCGTCGACAACTGTTCGGCGCACAAAGTCGACGTTGAGCTGAGAGCAACTAAGTTGGTGTTCCTTCTGGCAAATACGACTGCGGCCCTACAGCCAATAGACCAGGGTATGATAAGGAACATTAAGTGCTTTTATAGGCGTCATGTGCTGGAGAGAATGATTTTGTGCGCGGGCGACAGGAAGGACTTCGGCATTACGCTGCTCACTGCCATGCACATGTTGGTGCGCGCATGGGAACAGGTGACCGCGACCACAATCGCAAACTGTTTCCGCCACAGTGGATTTGCAGCTGCAAGTACGCAGGATAGTTGTGACGTGCCAGTGGCGCGGGATAGGAGCTCATGCCAGTGGCATTGCGCGACACTCTTCGGGGCGTACGTTTTGCCGATTATGTTGAAGTTGACACCGGTGCATCGGTGTGTGGTGCCCTGACTGATGAGGACATTATCGCTCAAGTAGCCGGTGCGCAGCCTGATGCTGAAGAGCCAGAAGGTGAGGAAGACGAAAATGACGAAGCGCCTGTGCGCCCGTCAGCTTCTGCGGTGATGCAGGCACTTAATGTGGCGCGTCTCTTCTTCAGCTTTGAAGAGGGTGAAGAGGATTCTCTGCGCAGCGTCCGCGCGCTGGAACAGAGAGCCGCAGCTGTGGCATTCAGAGAAAAGAAGCAGATGGTCATCACTGACTTTTTTGGCCAATAAATATTTTTCGTGCCCCCACCCCCGAAATCCACCCATTTTTGCTCACTTTCATTATTTTGAATTTTGTTTAATTCGAAATTGCTCAGCGTTCCCGTGGAATTCGAATTAACGAGCTTTTACTGTAATCACGTTCTGCCTGTGATGAAGCAAGAGATGAGGTGCCTACGCATTCATCACCTAGCGAGTGTACTTTTTTGGCTTCAATAATTTCTCGGGTAAGCTGATTCCTATGCCTTGCCAATATAGAGCACTGATCAAAGAGGGGGGTGCACCGACAATCTTGGCAATGAATGCCAGGGTGCCCTTGTACCACATTGTGCACATTGTTTTGGTGTTCTCAGGGGCGGTCATTTATGCACCTGCCGATTTGGCCGACATAGACGCACTCACATGTCAGTGGAATCCAGTAGACGACTCCCACTGCGCGTGCGACGTAATGTAACCTGTGCGCAACCGAGCACGGGGCAAAGTTTGCACGAGGTGTAGTAACCCGTTTGCAAAGTTTCTGCAATTGTTCCGGTGCAGAAAAAACCACAAGAACGTTGGCGGCTCGAGCAATCTTTTTTAGCCTGTGTGAGACATCGGGCACATAAAACAGTACGACAGGCCAACTCTTTTTGGCTCTGTTGCGCTTATCCGGTTTGTCGCCTCGCTTCACGACAGTAACCAGCTTTTCTGCCACCGAAACGAGAAGATGTGCGGGGTCAGATGCTCCACTTGTAGAGCAAAACTGAGGTGTACCATGTGGGGGCAGGACTTCTTTACGGCGTTGGCAAGGCAGAGGTTATCAATGCTCCGCTTGACCAATTTTTAGTGAGCTGAGCTAAAAGGCAAAAGTGGCTTGCCGCTTCTTGGTTCATACATCCAGCAAACGTGCGAGGATCCTATCAAAAGCTTCAAATCTAAAAATTTCAGGTCATTATCAGTGGGTGATTCATACGTTCGAACGAGTGGTCTCAGGCACTCTCGGAAACCAGTCAAAACGTCAGAAGTAAAGGGCTCGAATTTTCGACTATCACATTTCAGCAACTCTAAATAATTGTCAACAAAACGGCAAACTATAAAAACTATAGAGTTGTCAAGCTTGTTTGACAAGACACGATCATGATGTGCTAGAAATATGTCGCTGAGAAAACATGAACCATTATGTACTCCACTTTTTTTGTAGGTAGTTTTTGTCATCCCATGGTACAAAGGTGGCCTTCAAATAAAAACTGAGTAATTCTACCAGGCTGCTGTTATGGATTCCAGTGCTTTCGAGATGTAAGCCTTCGAACAAAGTTATCAATACAGGAAGCACTGTCGTGTACCTAAAGGCACATTCCTTGTCACTTCTGCCGGCTGACAGAGAAGGTGGACTTGCGGCTCTTCGTCGTTCAATGTTGAAGGTGAAAGCTGTACAGACAATGAAGTCTGTTTTCAACCAGAAAGATAAGATTTGTCTGGTTAAGCTTAAGAAGCCTGCAAAAACTCTTACCGGGGCCCTGGGATTTCAAAAGCTTTCAGAGGCGATAGATAGTTCCAAAAAGCTTAGCCTTGACCTGTTTTTTTCAGCGAAAACCCACAAAATTGACAGCCCATTGTGGGTCATAGTAACAGAAAGGGGGGCCTGGCAAAAGTCGGTAGCACTTTTCTTGCAGGAAAAGCTCAAAAATATAAGAATAGACGACCCCTTTTTTGGTCAAAAACTCTGGCGCTGTCATTGACACTCTTGGGCAAACTAACACTCTATAGGCAGTGTCTGTGGATATAAAGGACTTATTTCACTCTTTACCGCATGACCAACTACTTAAATGTGTAGAGGAATCCATAGAAAGCTTCGATCATCGGCGTTTCAAACGCGTACCGGAATCCATAACAGCAGCCTGTTAGAATTACTTAGTTTTTATTTGAAGGCCACCTTTGTATTACGGGATGAAAAAAACTACCTACAAAAAAGTGGAGTATGTATTGATTGATGTTTGGCACCCATTCTCAGTGACATATTTCTAGCATATCATGATCGTGTCTTGTCAAACAAGCTTGACAATTTTGTTGACAATTATTTGGTGTTGCTGAAATGAGATAGTTGAATATTCCAGGCCTTTTCTTCTGACGTTTTAACTGTTTTCCGAGAGTGCCTAGTGCCTGAAACCACTTGTTCGAACGTATGAATCACCCACTGATAACAACCTGAAATATTTAGATTTCAAGCTTTTGCTAGGGTCCTCGCATGTTTGCTGAATGTATGAACCAAGAAGTGGCAAGCCACTTTTGCCTTTCAGCTCAGCTCACTAAAAATTGGTCAAGCGGAGCATTGATAACCTCTGCCTTGCCAACGCCTTAAAGAAGTCCTGCCCCCACATGGTACACCAAAGCTGGTTACCCCGTGCATGTTCTCCTTTCGGTGGCAGAAAAGCTGGTCACTG